CTTCCCTCTTCAAGCCATTTTTCAGTCGTTACTAGCACGTGAATTGCGTGAATTATGAATTCTGACCATGAATGTCCTGCACATCCAATGCCCTGCATGGGGACTTACTCACAGATCAGATAATATAGGTAAGCTGCTTCATAACTGGCTAATTCACTGACCAGGTTTTATCATTAAAAAGTAGAAAATTTTATGTGGAAGAACCAAGGAAGATCAACTTGCTTGATTTTTACTTCACAACTGATTAAATACCGATGACTTGCTTGGTTTTGCCACAGGAAAACATAGGAAATCAATGATTATTTTTAATGTATCTTACTGTATATGATGAGGCGAAGCCTAATAAGTACAAAAATGGTCCTAACTTAGTTTCGACCAAAATTAGACTTGCTAGGTTTTTCCATCACACTCGAGCTGTTTTTCAGCGTCCATTTGTCGATCAAGTTATTACTGTGTCAAATTATGTTCTCTTTTTTACATAGATGTACAATTGATGACTTTCTCAAGCCAAATAATCCCATCAATAGCTCCTAATTACACATTCCCAGTTGTCATCTGTGAATGACAAGTTGTGTTATCTGGATGTGGGAAGTTTGCCGGGCGTCCAGCCACAGTAAGCAACCTAGTTTCGTTGCCTGACGCTTAACAGCTTGATAAAAATTGACTTTGGGCATTTCTGCATAGTACTTTTTCTGTGCATAATCTACCTGAAAACCATTAAATCATCGCCACAGAGCGATTGACTCAAACGAATCGGAGTAACTGCGAGTTTAAAACATTGGGTAGCCTGCACTTCTAGGAAATACTACAGCCTTTTGCTCTGATCAGCCATAACGATTCCAACGTGTACCCAACTGCACGTTTGTGAATCAGTTTGTGATGATTTAAGTTAAGGCAATCGGTTTATAAAGATTCCATAAAAAATATTGTTATTTAACAAACATCTACCATCAGGATACAAACAAACTGACATAAATGTCAGCGTTCTTCACAGCTGTAGCCTTTTTACGCCACCACGACGCGAACCTGGCACAAATTTCACTCACTAGCTCTCTCCGTGCCTTCTCCTACGCCCCCAAGAGATTTTTTTAAAACCAGGAGATCACGTGGGAAGGCGCAAATCAAAGTGATATGATATGAGTATCTGCTGCGCAGCAGGAGTTCATTGCCCGATGCTGACTTGATGTAACGTCAAAACTGGCCACGCAGAATAATTTAAACTGAGCGCGCGAACGCGTCTGCGACGCACCACGCCGTCCAAGCTACGCCGCAGTTGGTCCGAGTTCAGCGCTCACTTCTTCCAACTCCTCAAGTGTGTTGTGCCCTTCAAGATTGACAGCAGGAGAGCTCTCGTGTGAAAGTGTGTTGTAGTAAACGTTCAAGCGCATGCTGAAGAAGTGAATTTTCAAATATCACCGCAAAAAAGGGTACATTAAGAAAGCAAGCCAATCAAATTCGGCTGAACATTCTTAAGTCGGGAGAAATACTATAATTCTTCACGATGGATTCTATGGTGAAATCCAAAGGGGAGACAAAACCTTTGCGCAATGAAAGCTGCTCCAAATCATTGATGTTATCCACCGGGACCTTATCAATAGCGACGTGTTTTCTTCTGTCATTGAGTTCCATCGCGATATGTTTAATGACCAGTTTTAAGGCGTCTCAGCTGGAGCACAGAGTGCACGCACTGGAGATGGAGAAAAGATCTGCGCTCCATCAGTCAGACTCTGTCCTCGCTGGAGATGGAATCAAACCTGCGCTTCAGGAAGCGATTGAGAAGGTTGTTCAAGAGGTATGAAGACTTCCCTTAGTTTTACTTTTGGCTTGAAATTAATAGACATTGTGTGAGTGATGAATTGTTCCAGTTTTGGACCTGTGAAACTATGTCTGTCTACCAAATTATTCCACGCGGTTCTATCTCATAGCCTACCACAGTCTAAGTTGTTTTATGGCAAATCGTTTTACGGCATTATCTTTGAGTAGGCCTATATTTCATTTAAATTGTTGCCTATTTGGCTATGGGGCACGTTTTGTCCGTGAACGTTCAAAATTGCTTCAAAGAAGAACTTTTCTTAACTGGAAAATTTGGTCTCTAAAAGGAAACGTAATTGACTAAATGTTGCAATGAAAGGCTGAGATGATGCCTCTATGAACATGAATTGCCATCATCGACGTTCCGTCACTGTTTCATGCGATGCAAACTTTTGACACTCCCGTGCAGATGATTGCTCAGACCCTGCCGAAACTGCGCGCGCCGAGGGAAGTGGCGCAGGAGTGCGCTTGTCTGCCAGGTGAGTCCATTATCAGCGCTTTTGTGGCTTTTTGAGTGAAGTTTGGTGGCTGTGGTGATGTGTTGGGCGGAATTCTTTTATTTCCCTTCCATGAAATAATTCAACTTAATAATTACATTTCTGGAAGAAGAGTATACTCTTTCCTTCCTCCAATCAAAATTCAAGGTTTAGCCATGAAGTTTTCAAACTGTCGCGGTCGTAATTCTTGAAAAGGTTATTCGGTTTTGTCGGTGTAAATGAACGCACAAACAATCTAATAAAAGCCGTCTTCATAACTAAAACTAGTCATCAAATATATAAATTCGTTTCTTCATCAACAGTGTCGCTCTCTCCCTTCATATTAGCGCCGAAAAGATGCCTTGGGCTATGTAGTCTTTGCGAGCTCGAATTTCAAATGATCTCAAACTTTATTGTTATTGAAGTTACTCCCATCTTGAAAAGTTACCCTGTTAAGTAGTCAGCTTGTAAATCTGTAATTTTGAGGGTCCACACTGCGTCAAGGACCATGCTGTGAGATTTTAATGTCATTAATCAAAACAATAACGAAAGTTCGAGGAAAAACATCTGAATCTAGGCCTAGTTTGTTGTTATTTTTCTCATGAATGGGCTGGGAAGTGGTGTTGTGATGAGTATACTGGAACCCTTGGAGAAAAAAAACTTATGGAACACTCTTCTCCAGCTGTGTAAATGGGTCTCTGACTTTGTAAATAGTTTAGGAGAGATGGTCTTTGATGGAGGAATTGTTTTCCATTTTTGAAATTCAGGGGGTTATCTGTTTCTCTGCACTCTTCAATGTCCCACTGTGCGAAATATTGCCAGAAAAACTGCACACTTGGTGTGGTTTTCAGGAATGGTGTTTAATTTCTGGTTTGAATTTGTTATTCATTTAGCTGAATTCAGAATCTTGATTAGGATATCTGGTTCTTTTAATCGCTGGAAGCGAGATATGATCGGTCATGGAGAGTGTGTATGTAATTTTTTATTTTTATTTTTTGCTTTGTTTGGGAAACATCGAATGCGGTATGACACTCATTCTGGCGCCCCCTGGGGGACAGTGTCAGGGACAGAGTTATATAGAAATCCTTAAAGAGCATTTAAACCCTGTTTCACAATCAGATTTTACCTCGTGAACGGGTTAAATGGTCCTCCAAAGTAATGTTGGTGATAAACATTTCATTGATAAAGCGCCACATCCTTGCTAAAGCACTTTCAATTTTAAGCATCTTCCTCTCTTTTATAGAAATGGCTGTGACATCATTTCTGGCTCCTTTACCGTAAGAAAATCGTATCACAATAACTGATGATTACATAAAAAATTCAAATGGTTTGTTCTTGAAGCCCAATTGCAAAACGATTTTTCAAAATCAAGTTTTGTGGATTATTATCCTGAGCACTTTTCCCGGGCATGTATCCGGGATATGCAGAGAATTGCAGTAAATAGTGAGTGAATACTGGGATTGAAATGTTTTGATTAAGGCTATAACTTTATATTTGACTGGAATAAGGACTTGGTTATCAAGAGGGGATGTCTGGAATTAATTATGAATGATAATTTTGATGTAATTTGATAATCATACAATTATAAATTATGACATTTATTTATTTAAAGACACATATTTGTGATTGTACACTTTATGGAACGATTGCCCCAGTCTTGCAAATTAGGATTGAAATGAAAGTCTACAGGATGGATGATCACCAGGAATGGATTTCAGACGCCAGCCTAAAAGGCTTAATTAACTTGTGATACCCACTCAGAGTGTCTTTATTCAAAAGCTATTGCTGCAGTGTCGAGGATTATAACAACAAAACTTGGCTGTACACTCTTCTGCTAATGAGGATGACATGTAATTGCATTAACAGTTATTTTTCAGATACATTTGTCCAGTGTAACATCTTGTTGATGAGGCTACATCAGGGCAAATCCCTCCTTTGCATTGCTCAAGGGCTGCACCATTCTTATTGCAGCTATCAGGGGGCTCGTAGTATTAACCTCACACTAAACAAATAAGGTTCACCCTCGATGAGGATGGGATGTGAACCCACGCGTGCAGAACACAATGAATTAGCAGTCCATCGCCTTAACCACTCGGCCACCTCATCACATCTAAAAGGTGCAACATGAGCTGATGAGTGTACGTAATGCAGGAAAGAACTGATTCAGCTTCACAGCATAATTGCCAAAGTCATACTTTTGCCTAATTGAGATATTGGCTGCTTGTTCTGTTGTGGTGGCAAAAATTAATTTTTTCCTTTTCTCAAAACCAAACCTACAAGAATGAAAAATAAAATCCATTCTCTTAAATAATAAAAAATAATAAATTAATTAAAAGAAACCTTAAGAAGTGAGATAGACAATCATGCTATGAAGCTAACGATTTGCTGGTCACACTGTTAATGTATGTAATGTATTGTTATGTGATCATAATCTCCTTAGTCTATGCTGGATGCAAAATGTCCTGATTTGTTGATCACTCTTTCATCTTTCCCACAAATGAAATAGAAGTGCAACCACCCAAATATTGAATTACTTATTTATAATTTATTATGGGAGCATGTTTGTTGTCACGTAATCAGGTACATCCTCCTGCGTGCTGCAAAGTAAGGAATAAATGCCAGAGTGCAAATGCATGAGTGTCACAAGAAGGTGAGAGGAGATTACTGGGTGAGGGTGGTTCAACCCCGAGGGAAACACGTAAGTAATGCCTCTGACAAAGATGGGATTTGAATCCACGCGTGCAGAGCACAACAGATTAGTAGTTCATCGTCTTAACCACTCGGCCACCTCGTCACACCTAAATGAAGAAAAATCAAGGTGTTGCAATGGCCAAGTCAAAGTCCACACCTCGACCCAATTGAAATTTTGTGGCGGGACCTTAAGAGAGCTGTGCATAAACTAATGCCCTCAAACATCAATGAACTGAAGCAACGTTGTGAAGAAGAGCTGGCCAAAATTCCTCCACCTCAGTGTGAGAGACTGATAAAATCATACAGAAAACTAGAGGCACTCCGAGAGTGCAAACCTCCCCCAAGGCAGCACAGTTGAAATCTTGCTGAGTGAACATGGCTCATAAGAAATTTAAGGATAGGTTCTGTCCCTGATGCGAGACCAATCAACACACAAAATCTGGGTGATATTACTGGGAGCCAAGTTCAGTTATCGCGTTTCATAGGATTTCAAGATGGCTGCCGTGGCGGCCTTATTGTTCGACCGATTGTGGTCAAAATCAATAGGGTCCATCCCTGATGTAATGGCAACCCACCCGCAAAATTTCAGACATATCCGATCATTATTTTCTGAGTTATCTTGTACACATACAGACAAACAGACAGACAGACAAACCAACACTGGCAAAAACATAGCCTCCTTGGCAGAGGTGACAACTAGTTCAAGTTATTGCTGCTGAAGGTGGTTCAACAAGTTGTTGAATCATGGGGTGTACTTAGTTTTTCACGGATGACATCTGCATTTTGGCTGAATTTTGGTTTAATAAATAATGGCACGGTGGAATCTGTTGTGTGTTTTACACCTGAGGTTCGATTTAACTAATTATAAGACCTGATAAGTACCAGTTGATTTTTTTTTTTTTTAAATGTCCTCATATGTAAAACTATAGAACTGAAAGAGGGAGTACTTTCTTTTTCTCATGACTGTATCTAAATGGCCCATGTACGTATATACTGTACTGTATGTGTGGTGAGTGTATGCTGTCCTGTAGGTTTTCAACTCTTAGTAGAATCATTTTTCAAAATTTTCCACTAGTTGTGATAATCACGTGAGTATAAAAATGCTCAGTGAAGAGACATATTTGTGATTGTACACTTTATGTAAGGATTGCCCCGGTCTTGCAAATTAGGATTGAAATGAAAGTCTACAGGATGGTTGATCACGGGGAATTGGTTTTAGAGGGCCAGCCTTAAAGGCTTAATTAACACGAGAGAACCACTTTAATTACACTGTCTTTATTCAAAAACTTGTGCTGCAGTGTTGAGGATAATAACAAGGAAACTTGGCTGTACACTCATCTGCTAATGAGGATGACATGTAATTGCATTAACAGTTATTTTTCCTGATACATTAGTCCAGTGTAACATCTTGTTGATGAGGCTACATCAGGGCAAATCCCTCCTTTGCTTTGCTCATGGGCTGCACCATTCTTATTTCAGCTATCAGGGAGCTCGTATTATTAACCTCGTAACCTCACACTAGATAAACACATAAGGTACACACTCGACGAAGGTGGGATTTGAACCCACGCGTGCAGAGCACAATGGATTAGCAGTCCATCGCCTTAACCACTCGGCCACCTCGTCATGTTATGATGATAAATTTCTGTTGTGTAACTCTTTTAAGGATTTGCGAGCTATACAGTGTGTTCATTTTTCTGACCTGCATGGACAATCTGTCAGTGCTTTTTCAAATTCCTTATTTTTGATTGATTTACAAAGTGTAATTAATCAGCTTGGAAACTGATGATTAAAATTAATTGTCAGAGTGTCATAAATTCACTCCTTTCAATTTGTGCGCAGTGGCTGTCGGTCCTCTTTATAGATTAGCAATAACCATCGGTCAGGCTCAGCTAATGAAAATCTGAAATGTTGGTTCAGTTGTTATAGAAACAATAGCAAAAAGAAATGCTCTGTGAAGTAATGGGTGAAGAATGGGTTGAGGTCAGTACTAATCTGGTGTGGTGACTCAGATTATTCTGAGAATCGGTCGTAGTCTGTATCCCTTCAAAGATTTTGAAGTCTTGAGTTATTTGTAAGACCAGGCGATGTGCAAACAGTGTTTTAGTTGTTTTCTGTTCACAGAAGAGGAGGTTTCTCTGCTACTTTTCTGACTTTTCGGACTCTGGTCAATGGGGCTTTTTTTTTTTTTTTTTTTAAAGATGTGTCTCCGTGGTTTTTACGTCTTCTCGCGAACAGATGGGGAACTGTTTCTGGGAGGATACAGAGATAAAAATGGGGGCCTGTGTTTTGTCAGCGTCCTCTGGTGACCCCCAGATCTGGGGTCATCAGGGATCATGATTCTGACGGAGTCATGCAGTTCACCTTCAGAGAACAGTGGGGGGAGAAGTTGGGGGGGCACTCGGACCATTTGACCAACCCATAGCTTGACCTCTCCGACCACCTTTCTGAAACCGTTGGTTTGCAGATGGACAGGAAAGATTGGTAAATGTAATTTTTGAAGCCCTGAGCTGAGACAACCTCCTGCATTCATCCAGGGGTTTCAGACACCAGTCCTGCAGGGCTACACTGTCCATCTAGTGTATCTGTTATGGTCTCCTTCTGATTAGCAGCTAATTAGTGCCTTAAAAAGTTTTGTAGACTCTTAGGCCAAGTGGTGACTTAAGTTGACTACTAGAGCATAAACAGACACTGTGGCCCTCCAGGAGTTTGTCACCCTTGCATTAGTGGAACCAAGTCATGGACACTAAGTGTCCCCTCAAATCTGTAGCTCACGCCACACCAAAGGTTCTCAATCTTATCCAGAAATGTCCGGTGTGGGCGCTGGCTTTCATGTTGGTCATGCGGTTGCACACCTGATACTGCTGATCAACGCCTCCAGTCGTTGCTGAAGACCTTGATTAGTTGAATTGGGTCATAATCAAACTGCTCGGTTGGATCGGGAACCTGTATCCGCACCAAACCTTCCTGGATGAGGCTGTGACTCCTTGGCCGCGCCATTTAAGGGAGACTGACTGACTTGATGGGGTCGCCGGTCAGTTACAATGGATTTTTACTGTCAAATGAAGTTCCTATCTATCCATTTTGAGTCTTGACTTCATCATCCCTGTTACACACCACCCTTCAGTGAGTTTTGGGTTTGGGCCAGGCCTTGGCGTTGAATAAGTTTGATTGATACCCGACCGTGGGACAAAGTGTGCGTTTTTGGCACTGATGAGACCTTGCGCAGGTGGGGTCGGCCCGTAGGTGGTCCTCGGACACTTCGGTTTCTGTGCCCTGTTTAATTCGGCCACCTTCATTCCTCCTCGCCGAGTTAGAATCCCATGACGAAACCAACATGGAGCGCGGGGTTTCGTGGAGAGTGTAAATATTCCCCCCCTCTGTAGCGAACCAGCGGCGCAGTTAATAACCCATATCAGACAGATGGTGTAAGTAGCCCTTTCAGATCCTCGACCTTCAAGTGTTAACTTTCGACGATACGCACTTCCTCCATCTGCGTTCCACTCAATGGAAACAGCTGGGCAGAGGTCACTTCAGAGCGGAAACTGAACATGAATGTGACTATATGTGCAGCCAGGCCCTTAAATCGCATTTTCACACCGACCGGCATCTTCAACCACAGATCAGTTCCACCTGGAGCGTTTAAAAGCACATCTATCCTGTCTGTCAATCCATTTATCAATCCAGGGGTCAATACTGGAACCATTGAACCTTGTGGTCAACAGTCGAGTAAATTCTGTTGTTTTTGGTCATTAATATTGCAGGAAGTATTCTTATCAGTGTATCTTACTGGATACATGCTGGAAGCATTTTTTTCCAACAAACATCATAAATATTAAGGTTGCACTTGAAATAAAATTCTTGCCTGGATCCCAGTCATGCATGTAATTGGCGTGATATCAGTTTATTGAAAAGTGAATGGAAGTATTGCAAATCGTTTGCATAACCCAATTCTTAGAATAGTAAAGGCCAGCAATACTCCTCTTTTTTTGTTTAATTTTATTGAACACCTGTGAAGTCAAACCTGTGGTCAGTTTTCAGAAACTGCGGCTGTCAGGCTGAAGCGGCATTTAAAATGGGGCAAGAGCAGGGCCGGAGAGGGTGGGTGGTCAGGGTTCAGAGGTCGCGACCTTTGCTAGATATGAGTCAGTGGGTGCAGAACTGTGAAGACAAGACAGACGATTTCAAAGATGTTTATTCCCGGGAGGATATGGCGGAGATGAGAAAGAAAACAGGGCAGTGAGGTAATCGTGTCAGGGCACAGTCATGATAACTGTGTCACTGATCGCACAAGCTGCAGACTTGAGACCTGAGACCATTTGAGAGTGATCAACAAGATGGTGAAGGTTAGCATAGCACGTATCTCCCACCAGCAACTTGGCCTGCTCTCTTGAGTGATATGTGTCGTCTGTGTGGCAGGTTTAACTTGCTGCGCTGCAAGGACTGAACTGGTGAATGGTTTGCTTGTGTTAATTTTGATTACCAGATTTGACATTTATAAATCAAATTTGAAAGGAAATGAGTCAATGATGGTTAAACCCTTATGGAAGAGGAGCACTCGCGAGAAAAATGAGCTTATTCCTGGGCTGTATTGAGATTTTATCTGGAATGTCCGTTCGAAACTTAATTCAGTATTGCGCTCGACACAGTCTGTGCCTGGGAAACTACCCCTTTTCTTTTGTAATGTTCAAAGTAGGCTGGTTGAGCGCTCAATCAATGTGATTCATAACTTCCGCTTTCTCAACCGTCATTGAGGAATAGTCTTCAGGAGCCTGGTGTGCATTTTCAGATAAGACAGGCAGGAAATATAAACTTGCGCATGACGTGAGATGGAGGTAGAATCAGAGATGCCTGATAACACTGATAGCAGTAATTGTGCGTTTGTAAAAGTCATCGCTGTTGTCATTTGTAAGCCTTGTCTTCTGCTGGTGCTCCACATTGATGGACTGTTTTGTGCCTGCATTTGTGGTTAAATAAATGTATCTCGCACAGTATTGTCCCTCATTGGAGTGTCTTATTTTTGGCACACTTAAATTTCCCCTTTAGTAGGTTCAAAGGAAGAAAATTCTTTTATTTCTCGAATTGTAGGACAATGTCACGCAC